CAATTCCATATAATTTGATCACAAAATATAAATTAATTGGTTACAAATTATTTATCTGTCATGATAAAAAAATTTTATAGGTCACAATTTTTTCATTGATCACAAATTTATAAAATTAGTAAGTTACATATTATTCATTGGTCACAAATCACAAATTTTATATATCACAAATTATTTTAATGTCACAATTCAAAATTTTTATAAGTTATAATTTGTTCATCAGTTACAAATCAAAAATTGAAACTTTACAATTATTTATAGTTTACAAGTCACAGATATTATAAGTCACAAATTATCAAATTATCGGTCATAAATTAATAATTTTTAGGTCACGATTTATCTTTTTCATTTATCACAATTTGTTTATCGGTCACATTAATCAATTTAATGGTCACAATCAACTAAAATAATATGTGACCACCACCAACACTTGTGATTACCACCTCACCAGTGCCACCAACAGCATGGCAACCGAAACCCGTCGCCGGAACCACCACCATAACCACCACCACCCCCCATCTTACAACCCAAAAAAAATCCGAACACCACCACTTCGTCAACACAACCATCGTCACCAGCGCACCAACAAGATCCAACAGTCGCCCAAACACCAGACCGCCTCCCAAAAATCAACAAAATCACCGCCCAATTCAAAATCTGGCCTTTTTTTTCTTGAAACGTTTTTATGATTAAAGTGCCTAAATTTCCCTCGCCTGCCAATGAAAAGGTTGTCGCGCTTCCACTTCTCAATAGGTTCATCACTTGCACGTTTGGCTCTCGACTTAAACTCTATATTAAAACTTCTTCGTTCAACCAATATACAAATTGCAGGAATTTTGACACACAATCTAACTAATTCATCAGACAAGGTTGAACTTAACAAGTAGTCAATCCTGCCACTGAATTTTAGCATTGGCCTGATGAAATAATGCGCAGTTTCCTTTGGTTAGTGCTTAAAATAAAAATTAAATGAAAATCAATCTGTAACTTTTAACATTTTCTCAATATTTTAACAAGCAGCAGTGCCCGAACCTGCAGTCCTTTGTACTCCCTCTGTTTCGTGGAGGCTGGGTTGCGGCGGAGAAGGAAGAGAGTGGAGAAGAGAAAAGAGAGAGTGACGGTGAGAAGAGAGAGAGAATAGAGAAGGATGAGGAAAATTGAAATGAAATTGATTAGGGTTCGTGGTGAAAATTGTACAATTAATATTTAATATTTAAAATAAAATATCCGACTTTTGAAAAGTGAAACCTTTAATTTGATTTTTGAAATTAAATTTTTAAAATTCTGGTTTTGTGTAATTTCCTCTTAAATTAATGGGAGACGCATTTAGAGTTTAATATTCGAATTCGTTAACTAAATGGATTAAATATGGATATACATCAATTCAATCCGATAATTGGATCTTATAAATAGTTGATAAATAAATAAGAAAATAAAAAAAATTAGAATAAAAAATCATCAAATTCAAAACATTAAAAAAAAAATTTAATCCACGTGTACATAGTGTTCTAAAAAGCATAATGTGTTGTGAGGCGTAGATATTTCGAGTTAGGCAAATCTAAACGAAGTCTAGGCTAAAAAAAACATAAAAGGTACTTTCTTATTTTAATATTATTTTTAAATTTTTAATCAATCTAATTTTTTGTTTATATAATACATACAAATTATCGTATCAAATATAGTTTTAAGAGCTTAACAAAATAAATATATTCGATTAACAAATAGTATAATAGTGTTAATTGAAATATTTGGAGAGTTTTAAATTTTTAGTAATTAGCAATAGATAGGAAAAAACTATTAATTTAATAAATTATAATAACTATTTATATAATAATATAATACATTACCGTCAAATCAAATGTACAATACACTATAGTTAATTTGTTTGGAAATGTCCTCTATAAATAAGTGAGACAATAAATGAGTGAGCAACTTTTTGTACCTTTCAATCCAATTGGCTAAAAGTTTTAAAAGTTGGAAAAATTGGGGAAAAAAAGTTAATTTCAACGTTGATTTTATTTTCCTAATTTCGGATCGGATATCTGATAACATAACAAATAGAATATGAAGTTAACAATCAAATATCGGTTAGATTATCGGATCGAATATACGATCCATTTATAGTCCTAGCCTAATATAGAATACGTTTTTTTTTTTATAACCATGGATGTCCGGGCCAGCTTGCTCGCACTTCGACTAATTCCACGGGGCCCTGAAGTTTACGGCCGAGTATTCACCTCAGTGGCCTTGAGGAGACTCGAACTGGTGACCATTGGGAGCAAACTCAAGGCCTGACCAATTGAGCCACTCCTCAGGGTAGTTAATTTATAAAATAGCATCTAAGTACTATGTCTCGTTTGTCAGTCACAAGTGGTACCGGAAAGTTTAAGGGCGTGTCTGGAACCACTTAAAATCCATTTTCTTACTGTTATTTTCGTGTACCTGGGTCCCATGTGTGAGATGACTGGTCCAACATTGCGGCTCAACGGTAAAAAATTGGCTGAAAATATGAGCCAGACACACCGTAAGAATGCTTGTGGATTTGCATAAATTCGTTCACTCATTCCAGCAGGTCAGCACGTCACTGATGGTGCTGAGACACTGCTAAGAATCACTGTCCATCTTACTTAACTGAGAATGAGACTCTCTAAAGGAAGAGAAAATTGTGCTTTCATTTTGCATGAAAATTTATGTCATCTTAATTTCCAATGTGTGTGTAACTTGGAAAAGAATATAAAGAAAAATTATTTTTATTAAGCTTTCACCTCTACGAAGAATGCAATCATCATAATATTTCCGGGCAAGTGATATTTATCGTCTGAAATTATTCCACATAATTTGGGTTAGCCATACGTGCAAGTTCAGTTAATTTTTTAAAGATGAATTTTGAGTGTGGTGACCGAAATAGGGCAAACCCATAAGTTCGATGTCCAAACAAGTTTCTATACCCTCTATTTGATACAAGGCAACTTGTATGAAAACAATAAAAGCATTTTTTGATCGATCCATAAGAACTTAAAAAGGATAAACGAGACTCGTGAATTTTGGAATATATCGAGAAAACTCAAATTTCTATTCGACTTCGTTTAGATTTGTTTTGGGTTAGGTGTACTTACTTGGCCAACTAGCTCGTTGAAGGGGACATTTTTTCTCCGAGGAAAATAGTTCTATCTCACTTTTAACGATGAAATTCCCAACTATCCTTTTTGACGAAACCATCTAAAGTGTTTACACTAAGTACTTGTTTGGTGAAAATTAAGTTAAAGTAAATAATTAATTTTAATTACACATTCATGAAATTCACAACTTTTTAATCATACACTTCATTAAATTTTATCAAATCTATTAAAATTTAATTTTAATCACCACTAAATGGGTTTGTTCAAACTTAAAAGTGAGCTTCACATTCTAAAACTTACTTTGAACCATTTTGTAAAGGCCAAAACAACAAAATCAACCATCAAATCTCTGTCCCATTACAAGCTTCTCGAAGTTGACTTCACCCACGCTAAAAAGATTTACTTAGGGATGGCACCGGACAGGATAGGGTCGGGGCAACCTCCCTCGCTCCCTGCCTCACTAAGCAATTCATCGCCTTAAGGCGGGGCGGGACAAGGCCCTTGTCCCATTTACTACACCGTTTAATTTTTTTTTTTTTAGTTTTTGATAATTTATTTTATTGCTCCCATTCATTAGATTGA